ATCAGACATTATAGAAATGATACATATTTTGAAGACATTTGTCTTTTCATGAATGCTGTGTTTATTTGCACAACATACTTAGTGAATGTGTCTAAAATACAATAAGCTACAGGCACTCCTTGTTTAATGACCAATTTCCAGTCCTTCAACTGGGGTGTTGAATGAATTGGTTGCTAAATGAGGAACTGTTTGTGGGATGTACATTACAATGTTCAAAACAAAGAAATGGTCAAAGGAAACTCCAACTTGATGACTTTGCTTTGATTTGCATAACTCTTACATGCGGTACTGTAATGTACAGCAGAACATAAAACTATATACTGTATAGTACATTCAGCAAAAATTACAGTACTGTGTAAACAAGGTATACTGTACAAAAGGAAAGACATCAAGGCTCTTTAAACAAAAAGTATAGAACTGTACAAAAAGAAGAAAAAGGACAAATCCTAAGTCCAGGTGGTGGGTCGTAAGTCACAACACTAGATCCCTAATAACGGGCTGGTCATTAATGGAGAAGTATCTGTATAGCAAGAAAGCCTTCTGGAAAGTGTTACTGGGGTTTGCCTGTACAGCAAGGTCTGGGCATTTTTCACTCTACAGGTATATTCTTTTGTACTTTTTCATTCTTTTTGCCTTGTACATGAATTGATTAGCATGGATAGTTTGCAAAGCCAGAGCTTGGCCCTTGGCACTTCCCTCAAGGGCACTCCTGGGAGCCTTTCACTTATAGATGGCTCCAATGGCTCCTTTGGGTCCTGAATAATCCCTGTTCCCTTCCTCACTTCATCTCTTCTCATGCAGAGACCGTCCTGACTAAACTTCAGCTTGGTGCTCCGGCCTCTCCACAGTGCTCACATCTTCAGCACCCCTCCCCCGTTTTGGGCCCTGTCTCCTGGGTCACACGTGGCACTGCCCACTGCTCCCTCACTTGTCCCACCGTCCAGCGTAGCTTTTCTCTTGAAGCTGTGCTCAGTTTTCCACTCATCTCCTACCTGCTCTTTGAATCCTCCAGATGCCAGAAGCCAATTCACCTGCCCAGGGCACTTTTTCTGCACGTTCATCCATTCATTCATTCAGCCCCATGTAAGGCCACTTTCATAAACCAAGCAGTGGGGTTAGGAGCTGATAAACAGAGATAGCTCAGTCAGGGTCTGTGTTCTGTGGCTGGGGTGGGGGAAACCTCTGTTCTAGCTGGGGAACAGATAAGCAGACACTGTCCTCTGATAAGTGACATGAGGCAGCACAGCACAGGCCACTGACTTTATACCATGCTTCCCGGCTCTGAGTCCCAGTTCTGCTGTTTACCAGCTGTGTGACCTTAAGATAATTGCTTTACCCCTTGTGCTTCAGCACCCTTATCTGTAAAATGGAGATAACAAGAAAAGCAACTGGGGCTAGGAGTGTGGCTCAGTGGTGGAGTGCTTGCCTAGCAAATGTGTGGGCCCCTTGTTCCATCATGAGCAGTGCAAAAAGAAAAAGAAAAAAAAAAAGCAACCTCTATGGGTTGTTCTGTGAATCACGTGAGTTAGTCTCTATAAGCGCTTAGGATACAGTTATCGTTATAATTTTGAGGGGTTGCGGGGCTCTGAGGAGAAAAAATTCATACAAGAAGATCTTGAAACGCCGAGTATAAATAGAAGGAAGGCCTGACTATAGTGTGGAAACGTGGAGGTGAGTGGGGTTTGAACAGACAGCAGTTTCTCTTACAGTGACTCCAGTACTTGTGCCTCTCTCTAACACTGAGTCAAATGGATGTGTTCCCAGGTGTCTTTAGGGCAGGCACACAGATGAGGTTGGTCAAGGTTCTCCCAAACTTCATCTTCACAATTCATGCCTCATTATTTTTGGGGGGGGCGCTGAGGATTGAACGCAGAGTCTCATGCCTGCTGAGCACACACTCTCCCCGAGCCACACACCCCCGGCCCTTGTGCCACATTGTTCAATATTTTTCAATGAGCCCAACTCATTTTTTATCTAAATAAATTTCTTACAAGGAAACTTTAAGACACATCTGTAAATAGAATATTTTCTCTTCTATAAAAATAATGAAGACTGTGATTGAATTCCAACTAGCTAAGACTGCCTGGTTCTGACGTCCGCTCTCTCACACAAGGATGAGTATTAGTGAGTGTAGGAATTAATAACAAGCAGGCACTGGATCTGGACTTTCTCACTAGCATTGTTAGCAGGGTTGAGAAAGAAAAGGAAAGAGGAAACTCTTAAACCACCAGAGAGGTGAGGAAGCCCCTCAACCCCATCTGAGGAGGGAATGAAGCCGATTGTTCTTAGAGGTGGATTTTTCAGAGAGGATTGAGGCTTCTCTGCAGGCTGTACCCTGGGGTCGCTAATGTCTTCCCCCTGAAGTGGCTGAGCTTCTGCCATGGAGGGAGGTCTCTGGGAAATGCCTTTTCTCTCCCTACTCCTGTTTACCTGGTGATTCTGGAAGTCCTGGACCGATGTTCAATAAAAGATTAAATGGCAAAGCAAACCAAACCTGCTTGCTGTTAAATGTTATTTCAGGAGAAAGGTCCCAACCCCCAAATAAACCAGGTTTTACGCAAGAATTTGAATGAATTCTGACAACACAATCCACAGTGCAGGATTTGCCTTCAGGCTATATAGTTTTTTCTGTCAACTCCACTAGGATAGAAAGAGAGTCAGGAGAGGAAGGGGTCTTTATTTTTAGGCCAGACAAGGCTTATTATGGTTGTTACTTATTATTCACTATACTTCTCTGAGGTGAACTGAAAGTGAAAATGGGACCTCAGCTTTCTTTCTCCCTCTATCCTTTCTCTACTTCTTTCCTGTCTTTTTCTCTCCTGTCTGTTCTCTATTTCTGTAAGATGTATGATGTTTCAGGGCTGCGTCTCCCAGTTTTGTTCAACATCAGCTTCTCCATTTCTGCCTAACCCACAGCCCATCTGCACTAAATTTTAAAATTTCACCATTCCCTTATGTAAATTTGGTCTCATCCTAAACAACCAAAGTGTTGATCATCACTCCCTCAACTTCCACCCGCCATGTACACAGTAAGAGAAAAAGTCAATACAATCAGAGCACTAAGCACCTGCTAAAGCCACCTATTCGAGGGCCTTGCCAGGACAGGACCTGCCAGGCTTGCCAGGAAGTGGGTACAGAGGGCTTCCGTACTGCTTGCTGGTTGACCAGTGAGGCTCCTTATATCCCAGGGTCACTTCAGGGCTGCCTCCCCAAAGATTCTAATGTAGCAGGTCTGGGAGCCTGTATTTTTCTCCCAGCACTGGAGATCCAACCCAGGGGTGCTCTACCAGGGGCTACATCCCCAGTCCCTTTCTTAAAATTTTTAAAATTTTGGGATGGGGCCTAAGTTGCCCAGAAGGTAAACTTGTGATCTTCCCTAAATGCTGGGATTATAGGTGCCACCTTGCCTGGTTTGGGATTCAGCATTTCCATCAAGCTTCTCCAAGTGACATTGGGCTAGGCATGTTGCTAAGTGGAGCTGTGCCTGACTGGCAAGTGCAAAATCTTGAGTTCGATCCCTGATACAAAAAAAAAAAAGTGACATTGATGCTACAGGTTGAAAACCACAATTTAAGCAGGCTTTGGCCCATGGGCATCACAATCACTTGTAGGTACTTGTGAAAATGCACATTTCTGGGCAAGGCCCAGATTGTACTTGGATTCTTGAGGTGTGTGTGGGATGGCTCTCAGGAATATCTTACCCAGTAGCATCCCAAGGAAGCTCTGGAGACCACCTTAGCACTGGTCTTCATTTTCTCATTACTGAGACAAAATTCTTGAAACCCCAAGTTAAAGGAGAAAAGGTTTATTTTAGCTCAGTTTGTGGAGGTTTCAGTTCAGTTGGCCGGCTCCAAGGCAGGCTGGAATGGCAGAAGGGCATTGCAGAGGAGAAACAGTTCATGGCAGGCAGAAGGCAGCAAAAGCAGCAACAAGCAGTGACCACTGCAGCCCTCTTTCTGTCCCTTATATTCTGTCCAGGATACCCACCCTTAGGGTAGATAGCAGTCACACCTAAGGTGGGGGACCCTTAACCCTTGTATCCACAATGAATCAATTCCAGTCTAAAACCCTTAATTCCAGCATCATACTCTAGCTTCAGCCACCTCCAGAAAGTTCCATCTATGACTGCATGATGATCTGGTGGTAGAGGGGGGAATCTAGATACATAACAGCACCTGTAACATGGATGCAAGATATGAGGGCCTGCCTTAAGAGGCCCTCTGCAGATCAGAGACACTTCCTGTGGTGTGGGCTCCTCTTTCCCTCTCACCCTCATTTAGTGTGTCAGCAAGACCTTTTGGCTCTTCCTTAACCTGTGATCAGATTATCTTTATTATTTTTCTTCTCAGTACCAGGGATCAAACTCAGGACCTTGAGCTTGCCAGGCAGATGTGGAACTGCTGAGCTATATCCCTGGCACTCAGATTATCTTAAAAAGAATCCAGTGAACAGTCAGACTTAGAGGCGGAATGAAACTAGACTGGTAAATGTTGACAACTGTTAAAACTGTAAGTTCAGTTTATTACTCACCATTTTGGTTTATATTTTAACGTTTCCAAAATAAAATGTTTTACTTTTGAGTCTTAGATCCAATAAATCCACTTCTGGAAACTTATCTTACTGCATACTTCAAATAAAGAAAAATCTTTACAAATGAATACATTATTCAATTAACAGTAGTGAAAAACTGGGAACACATGAAAGTCTCATAATAGGAAAATGACAAACTGGAACACCCTTCAATGGGATTTTATATAATTAAAAGCATTTATTCAGGCTATGTACTGGCAGGAAAATATGACTATTAAATAAAAAGCCATGACATTAAATTGTATGTGATGCATGATTAAAACTATGCAAAGATTTATATTTTCAAAAAAGACTGAATTATAAAAATATTTTTTATTTAAAAATAATGTAGGGCTGGGGATGTAGCTCAGTGACACAGCACCTGCCTGGCAAGTGTGAGGTTCTGAGTTTGATCCCTGGTACCAAAATAAAAATAAAAATACACTTGATCTTAGCCAAAAGGCCGAGAAGCGATAAAAAATAAAAATAAAAATGCAGTGGCCTCTGCCTCTTGGGAGATGCTGGAATTTCAGCCAGGGGGATATGAGCCCCCTGGCTCTCATCTGCACCCCTGCCACAGCCCTACACTCTGCCTCCACTCTTCCTCTCTCCAGACGCCAACCCGAAGGATCCTTTAGAAATGTAAATCAGATCACCTTCTTCTGCCTAGAACCCCATAAAGGGCCTCATATGGCATCTTTACAAGTCTAGGCCTCAGCCTAGCCCTGCAGGCTACAAGACTGCCAGCTGGTCACTCTGATCTGCTGCTGTTCCCTGCCTCCTTGCTGCAGTTTAGGCTCACAGGCCAGTCCCAGGGCTTTAGCAGGTGCTACTTCCTCTACTGGGAAGGCTTGGCCTCTAGCTATCTGAACAGGGTGCTCCTTCCCTCCAGAAGGCAACTCTTCTCCTTATCTAAGACAGATCCTCCTTTGCACCCCCAGGCCCTTTCTCTTCCGAGCACTTAACACCTCCCTCAGTACACTTGTTTATTATGCCTTCCACTTTCCAGACTGCAAATTCTTTAGCAACAAAGACTTTGATTTCCTGCCGCATACCTTGTGTCTCTGAGCCTAGCACATAGTAGGTGATCAATAAATAATTGTTAAATGAAAGACTGTTGAATTAAACAACTCCAAGAGCAGAGTAAGCTTCATGTGGTGGTAGGCTTTCTGTTTCTTACATGACCTTTTCCTCCCAAAACCTGGCAATGGCAGGTGCCCCATGGAAACCAAGGTGGCTGATCTTTTCCAGCAGAGGCCTCTTTAAGATGCACAGTGTAGGCTGGGGATTTAGCTTAGTGTTGCCACTGCCTGCCTTGAAAGCACAATGTCCCAAGTTCAATTCCAGGTTAAAAAAAAAAAAAAAAAGCAGCACAGTGAAGTGCATTGTGTGAATTGAGGGTAACAGAGCACAGTGGATAACAGAACTGTGTTTTGAAGGACTAATACTGACTTAATGCACAGCTTTGGGGACATTATGAGGATTCTCTAAGCATTTGTTTTCCTTTATGCAGAAAGACAAGGCTAAGTTACTACTTCCCAGGGCTGGGACGGGGACAAGGGAATGTCCATAAAGTACTTGGCAAGCACAGTGCCTGACATGGAACAGGTGTGCAATAGGAAGCAAATTAATCAATAGCCACCTATGTGCCTTTGTCTCTTTCAAGTTTACATTGTGCTCTTATATATATAGGCTTTAGCTGATTTGAGCTTTCAACAGTGTGTGGGTTTTATCACCACTTTAAAAGGTGAGGAAGCTGGGTCAAAGAGTAAAGTGCTTGCCAACAAAGCACGCCTCAATCTGAGAGCTCCATAGCTCTCTCTTCTAGAATACAAGGTAGCATTGCCACAGATGCCAATCAAGATGATTTGGATGGCCTGGCAGAGCCCTAGACTCAAGTGTGTGCCTACTATAAGGCTGTGAGTGGCAGAGGAATTCAGAAATAGAATTGGCCAGTGAGCCACGCTTTCATGACATGGTTCCTAGTCTGTGGCCCTTTCTCTGGGTGAGGCTTGAGAGCAAGTCTGGACAGATAAGCTGTCTCTGGCAGGATTTAAAATGCTTCACTGTTTTCCCAAGAGGGAAATCTACAAAAGTGCTTCCTGTAGTTTCTCTTTAGAGTTGGGCAACAGCTCTAGGCAGAAAATGCTAGCTTTGGTGCTAGAGATCTTCCTGCAGCCTCTGACCTCTAACTCATTGTGCCCCTGACAACAAAGGATTTCTTTCCAAAGCCCATCAAGGGAGAAACTCCAGCATGGAGCTCTGGGCTACCTATCTAGCATCAAAGGTGAAGGAAGGTCACATGACAAGAAAGAGATCCAAAGGTGTTAGATGTGAAACTTTAGAAACTTTTTTTTTTGTACCGGAGATTGAACTCGGGTCCTTGCACTTATAAGGCAGGTGGCGGCACCACTGAGCTAAATCCCCAGCTCTAGATGTGAAACTTTAGAACCACAAGGTCAAAAAACCATAGGTTCTCCAATGTCATGGGTTATAAGAACTGCAGTATCTAAGAGACAATAAACCTCATGGCTGTAACACCTTGATGCCTCATGCAACAGTAGATATAACACAGGATGGGAAGGGGCAAAGGCTGCTTCCAAACTTGGAATTCAGATGGTTCCTGGGTCCTGGGCATCTTCTCCATGTCAGAGGCTTGGCAGACATTCCTTTGGGAAAAGATGGTGTGAGGGTTCTGGCTGCAGGACTGAGGCTGAGAGAACAGGCTCTGGACACCAACCAGGCCCTTGGAGAGGGCAGCCTCAGAGGATCCGGTCAGGCCCCAAACCCTGACCCCCAGGGATGCATTCTGAGGCTCTGACAGTGCTAGCTTTGTGGCAGCTACAGTGCCCAAAGACTGAGACAAATACCATGGTCACCTGCCTTGGTGGCGTGTGCTCCTTGCAGGGAACATGCTGTGTGAGTGGCACTTGGCTACCCCCGGAGACTGCACAGCACCATGACTGACAACTCCCATCTGCATGGTGCTTCTGAAGGAAGAGAACATTCATATCCTAAAATATGGCAATGGTTTCACAAGTGGAATGACAATGGCTCTGGCCAGGCAGTGGGGACAAGTCTGGGGGCCACATTGGGGAACACCTGGAAAAGTGGCCAATAGACTTACCTCAACCCTGGCTCATCCACATTCAGTTAAGGTCACTTTAGGTCTCTTTGCTAATGGACTTCACTGATTTTTAAAAATGAGAGCGTTCTAGGGTAGTTATGACCTTTTATCAAAACTATAAAAATCTCTCTATAAAAATCTCTCTGGAGAGAGTTCACCACCCCAGGCTGCTCAGAACAAGGCAAATCAAAAGACAAATGTTGGACTGCCCTGCTGATTGGAGAAACAGTAAGAAGCATGTGGGGATAGAGGACATTTGGGGCCCTGGGAGCTCGGAAGCCCTGCGATGGAAGCCTCCTTCCAGGAAGTCCTGGGACTGTCCTCCATCTCTGACGGGCAAGAAGAGGAGCTTGCAGTTCGGGAGCACTTTTGGCTGTCCGGGCCCCTGCTCAGACTGATGATGTGCCCCGGCAAGCATCAGAACTCATCTCGCAGCTGAGGGGCCCTGTCCATGCCAAAGAAAGAGGACTGCCTCCCTTGAAGATCCCGCTCACGCTTCACAAAGGCGGTGAAAGATGACACACAGTTGCCAATAAAGTGGTCGGCTTGGCCGAGGATGTATAGGTCGATCTGGGCCACCTCTGGCTGGAGACTTACCACCTTCACCTGCAGGAGGAAGGCAGAACACATGAGCCCAAGTGGCCGCAGGCCTAGGTGCACCTGGCTGAGGTCCCTGGGCCACACTCTCCACCCTGGACTAAGGGTGCAGATGGAGGAGTAGGCAGCAGGGATTCGGGGTTCAGACATATGAGAGACATGCTGGCCAGCAGCCACCTTCTTCTCCAGCCTCAGCTCCCTACATACCATTTCCACCTCTGTGCCCTTGCCTGCACCCACCCCCGTCACGTGCGTGTGATCCTGAGCACAGATCCCGAGCAGGCCCTCAAGGCTCGGCTCACATCTGCCCTTCTCATAAAGGCCTAGCCCAATGGGCTTCTCCACCAAGCCCGAGACTGGAGCACACAGCTCACCCATCCAGTTCTGCTGCCTGGATGCCTCCCTCTCCCACACACCCACTCCAAGCCTGAAGTCCTGTCTGTCCCATTCACTGCCCCAGAAGTGAATCCTTCCAGTGAGGAACTGGCACCCCATGGACCCAGCCATCACCATCTCCAGTCCAATCAGCTACAGCAGCCTTCTCACGTTTCTTGCTGCCTCTCCTGGTCTGCTTACCATAGAACAGGCAAAGGAAACTAAACATTTTTTGTTTTGTTTTTAGATTTTTTTTGAGACAAAATTTCACTATGTAGCCAGGCTAGCCTCGAACTCTTGATCCTCTGGCCTCTGCTTCCCAGAGTGCTGGGATTATAGGCGTGGGCCACCATGCGGGGCTAGGACATATGCTTTTTTACTTTTTATTTTTGGTATTGGGGAACGAACTTGTATCTTGCACTTGTGAGGCAGGCAGCAGCACCAATGAGCTAAATCCCCAGCCCTAGGACATTTTATTTGTCAATTTTCCTGATAGGGCACTGGCCCAGCGAAATGGAAGAGTGAAGCTCAATTCAGCAGGAAGGGTGGGGTCAGAGCCTAGGGACAAGGGGCTGAGCAGGGGTGGGGACAGGCGAGAAGACTGGCCCAGGAACAGGAAACAGAAAATGGCAAGAAGCTCAAAGTGCAACAAACATTTCAACTCTAAAGCGCACACACACACAAAAAAAAACTCCCTGGGACTCTCCAAATGCTTCAGCTTAGTACAGAGGTGAGGAGGGGTGTGGGCTGACAGAGCTGAAAGTGTTCTGCTGTTCCACTGAATTTCTGATATAAGAAAAACCATCAGCTTGCCGCTTGGGTTGTAGCAAAGAAATAAAACCAGTTTAATCACGGTCAAAATCCCCCAAACAATTCCACCCACACCCTGAAACTTACCCAGTTTGTGTCATGCCCACTATAATTAGCTCTGGGACCTCTTGAGTAAACTCAATCCTTTCTAGAGACTTTGGTTTTCTCAGCTACAAAATGGAAGGGTGGAGTGAAAGGACCCCCAGGTCTCCCAGCTCTGACTTCTAGTTATTAAATGGGTGGGTAGGACCAAAATGCACTGAGCCTGCAGTTCTACCAGCTGGAGCTTCCTGCACATGTACACGCTCATGTGTGGGGCAATAGAAGAGAAGGCAACCACTCTCAATGCCAGTTTCTTAGGGTTTGCCCAACACTTACGGTTTTCATTCATTTAACAGTCTTACTGAGTGCTTGCTTCAGCAGCACATATACAAAAACAAAGTCTTACTGAATGCTTTTTTCCTTTTTTGCTGCAGTACAGGGGGATCGAACCCAGGGCTTTTGCCCTGAGCTATATCCCCAGCCTCTTAAAATTTTTTTTATATTTATTTTGAGATAGGGTCTCACTAAATTGCCCAGGCTGAACTTGAACTTGCGATACTCCTGCCTCAGCCTTCCAGAGTGCTGGGATTACCAGCATGCCCCATCACACCTGACTCAGAGTCCATGCTCTTAACCTCTCTGCTATCCTGGATCTCTGCTAAGGCCCATTCCCTATGTTCTTACTCAACAAACTGGGCACTGTGTCTGGCACTGTCTTAGGTACTAGTGATGGTAAGGAAGGGTCTCAGGTCTCAAGAAGTCAGAACACCAGGCTAGACATCAAATGACTGGAGAGTGGTTCAGCCTTGAATCCCACTTGCAAGAAACCCATATGTCCTGGATGAAATGACATATTTCTGCACTAGTCTCAGTCAGAAGAGAAAAAGAAGTGTTACATGAGCCAGAGAAGCAGAGGGAACCCTGGAAGGCATCTGTGGAGGAGGAGGAGTTTAAGCTGGGCTAGAAGGATAGGAACTGGAGAGGAATGTGTGTCCAGGAAAAAGGCCAGTGGGGTAGAACAGGAAGAGCGCAGCAGGAGTGGGACCAGATGGCACTTTCTTTCCCTCCTTGCCCACATGTACCTTCTCTTTGAAGAGCTGCTGGATCTCCGGCATGTAGCTCTCAGAATCAGTGGCGATGTAAATGGACTGGGCGCTCAGCGTCCTTACCCAGAGCTTCACAGCCCGCCGGATTTCCTTCAGGTCAGGGAGACACATGGTCATGGTAAGTGGGGCCGCTGTGCTGCGGCTGTAGCCCACACACTGTGGAGAAGCCATGAAGTGTGAGCCCACGGTGCCATCCTTCAGCATAGCACAGGCGTTCTTCTGTGGGGAGGGCAGGCACTGGGTTAGAGAGCGGCAACTTCCCAGACCCCAGAAGAAACAACTGCAGTGTGGGGAAAGACAGGCTACACAGAAGCCCGACTACGGAATTTTTTGGGGGGTGCTAGGGATTGAACCCAGGTCAGGGCCTCCTCCATGCTAAGCACGTACTCTACACCCTCCACACTCCCAACTATATACTTTTTAAAGTATTAAGGGAAGAGGAAAATGCATTGAAATAGTAATAGTGGTTATTTCTGGGTTAGTAGGATATTGGTTTTGCAAAAACAATTTTTTTCTGGGTCTCTCTGTGTTATCTGGGATGTTCAGTGTAATTGTGAACAGTGGTGGTGATAAGGGGCAGCTTATCTGATTCCTGACTTCAGTGGGGAGACTTCTGATAGCTCCCCATGAGGTACATGTTTGCTGTGGGCTCCACAGTGATAGCCTTTATCAAGTTAGGGTGGGTCCATTCTATTCTTGGCTGGTTATGAGTTTTTATCATGAATGGGTATTGACTTTTATCGAATGCTTTCTTGTCTTTTACTGAGATGATCATATGATTTTTTTCCCCCTCTTTGGGTGTTAATACCATGAACTTTGTCACTTTCTTAGAATAGATTTTTACTTAAATTATATGGCTTTTTTTGTTTTAGTGGTGGTCGTGGGGTACTGGGGATTGAAACCAGCCCTTCACACTGAGCTACACCCCCACTTTTTTCCCTTGCAGGGAGATAGAGTCTTACTGAGTTATCTAGTCTGGGCTGGCATTTGCAATTTTCCTGTCTTAGCTTCCCAGACTGCTAGGATTACAGGTGGATACACCACCATGTTTGGCTTGAGTTCCACATTCTTTAGTACATTACTGGATTTTACTTCTAATATTTTACTTTGGATCTGTGCATCTATGTTCACAAGTGAGAAGGACTACAATGTTCTGGGTTGACTGAGTTTGGTATTTGTGTTATGGTAGCTTTGTAAAAAAAAAAAAGTAGCATCTCATTATCATTTATGTTCAAGGAAAGTATAGATGGGAGCTACTTTTTAAAAGCTGGTTTGAAACCATTCGTAAAATATTCTGAGCCTGGCTCTTTTTCCTTGAAGCAGGGGGCAGGGGGAGCCTGGTAGGTAAATGTGAGATTACCTCATCCACTGACTATGAATTTTAATCTAATTTCCTTATCTTTCAGCATTTTAAAATTTTCAGCAATGAGCATTTCCAACAAATATATAAAACTCCTCATGTAAATTAAGGAGACTGAGTATGTGGGTTCTGTTATTTTCACAAGGAGGGTAATCTGATGAGGCTTCCGCACAGCCAAGCTTCCTCTAAATTCTGGGAAGATGACATGTTCATTTCTTGGGAACCTCACTCAATCGCCACAGTTCATTTTTCTTTTCTTTTCTTTTCTTTTTTTCCTGGTACTGGGAATTGAACTCAGGACCTTGCTTGCCAGGCAGGTACAGTGCTGCTGAGCTACATTCCTGGCCCCATAGTTCATCTTTCTAAAAGGAGTCTATTAGCTAAGCACTGAGCTGGGACAGAGGACTCCTAGATTTGGGCTTTTTCTTTCTTTCCTTCCTTCCTTCCTCTCTTCTTTTGAAGCAGAGTCTCACTATGTAGTTCAGGCTGGCTTTAAATTCACTATTAGCCCAGGCTGGCTTCAAATTTACAGAGATCCTCCTGCCTCAGCCTCCCATGTGCTTGGATTACAGGTATGCATCACCAGGCCCAGCTACGGGTCTCTTTCTGTTTTGCTGCTTGACTTGGGATCTGGCCTGATGCCTCAGTTTATCCATCTGCAAAATGAAGATGTAACTGACAACTGTTAAAAATGAAAGCTGGCCAGCACGCACCTTGAGTCATGCTTCTGACATACACTGCGCTGGGATCATAAGACATAATCCCACAGACTTGGCTGAGTGAGCACTCTCTGCCCTGGTGGGATTCAGGGAAATCCCTACAGGCAAGGGTCAGCCAGGGAAAGGAAGAAGTTACCCAGTCAGAGCCAATGCGCAGATGAATGCCCACATAGGGCCGGATGAGATGAGTGTGAATCTGAGCTTCTCCTGTCTTCACCATCTCATCTGACCATACCATGTACTTCTGGAGGGACCTGTGTTCTTCCAGGACAGGGAACTGTGCTGGGGCCCCTGGCAGAGCAAGCACTGGATGTTCCTTTGGTGAAAATCTAGGCATGAGATGGAATGAAGGGAAGTCAGACAGAGGATGTACAGAGAACCTGGCTGCCTCCCCCACGGGAAAAAGGGTGGCATTGCACCATGCCCCAGAGACCCTGCAGAGGAGCCCCAGCAACATGCAAGAAGCCCAAGAAGTTGTGAAATCCCAACAAGCTGATAAGTAACTTTGGCAGTGGCACCAAGCACAGTGTGCAATACTGTCCCGCCACACGGAATTTACAACCTTCTTTGCTTGTTTAACAATTAAAAATTTACAGTAGAGCATTCCAACCTTTTATATGGTCATGCTGGCTTCCAATCTGTGGTGTGGTAATTTGCTCCAGGGTGGGGTGTCTGGACCAAGCCTTTGCTCTTTTACCCACATGGCGGGTGTAGCTGCTTACAGAGGCCAACGGCTGGGACTGTGTACATTGGATTAGATCATTCAGCACTTATCAATTACTTACTGGTTGCCTACTATGTGCTGGGACCCAGGAAGAATGATTCTGGCACGATCCCTACCCTTGTGGAATACACCAAATGTCCCCATCATAGCCTGTGAAGACTCTCTTTCCCCATTTGTACAGTATGCATTTCACAATCATTTCACATCTATCTTTTTTCTAGGACTGAGGCCCCTGGAGGCAGAACCTCTAGCGTGACTAAAGTAGTGCCTGTCACATGTAAAAGCTCAGTAAATATTTATTGAATGAATGAATGAGCACAAACTTGTGTTCCCTCTTCAGCTAAACGTAGACTTCATCCCAGCACATAAAACATCTTGCTGTTCATGAACTCACAATGTATTTTCAAACTCTACATTTCTGTATACTTCTTCCCTCTATCTAGAATACCTGCCCTGGCCAGTCAAATACTTTTTCTAAACATTATGAATTAGGCATAGCCACTCTAAAATAGTTTGGCAGTTAGTTTATTATAAAACTAGGTATACAATTTACCCTATGAACTAGTAATGGTACTCTTGGGCTTTTATCCCAGGGAAGTGAAAACTTATGTTCACATACAAACCTGAACGCTAATGTACATACCAGCTTGATTCATAATAACTCCAAACTGGAAACAACCCAAATGTCACTCAATGAATAAATGGCTCAACACGCCGTGGCACATATGTACCATGGAATACTACTGTAATAAAAGGAATAAACTATCAACACAGGCAATGACTTGGATGGCTCTCAAGGGAAGTATCCCAAGTAAAAGATTCTACTTATATAGTAACGAAATGACAAGATCAAGAAGAAAAGAGAAATGGAGAAGAGATTAGTGGGTACCAGGGATTGGGGATGGTGTGTGATTAGGAAGGTGGGTGTGGCTATAAAATGGTAATACAAAGATTCTTACCATGATAGAACCATTCAGTATTTTAACTGTGGTGGTAAACAGATAAACCTACATACTTGATTAAACTGCACAGAACGTGAGTACAAGTAAAACAGGACATCTATCTAGATAAATCAATGGTATCAAAGTTACTATCCCGATTTGTGATCTGTACTATAGTTTTGCAAAATTGCACCACTGGTAGAAACTGGGTAAAGAGCAGAGTGATCTCTCCATATTACTTACAACTGGATATGAATCAACAATTACTACAATAAACATTTCAAATAAAAATTATGAAATATTGCCAACTCTAAAGGCAAATACGGAAATTAACAATCCACACACACAAAATGTGAGCAGAAGCTAATATTTTGCTTTGTTTCACAATTTTTTTTTTTTTTTGGTACCAGGGATTGAACTCAAGTCTTTGTACTTGCGAGGCAGTTGCCAGAACCACTGAGTTAAATCCCCAGCCCTGTTTCACAATTTTTTAAAAAGTACACACTTAGGGCTGGGGATTTAGCTAAGCGGTTCGGTGGCTTGCCTTGCAGCGCAAGGACACGAGTTCAATCTCTGGTACCCAAAAACCCCCAAAAAAACAAAAAAACAAAAAACAAACAAATAAAAAACCCAAACCAAATACAAACACAAAAATACTGTAAACAAACTATTTTTACTCTGACATTGCCTTAAAATGGTGGTACAGCCCTTCTGCAATTTGTTCACATCTATGAATGTTTGTA